TAAATGCAAAATTCCTTAAGGTTCTAGCAAATCAAATTCAACCACACATCTCAAAAAGCATCCACTATGACCAAATAGGCTTCATCTCCAGGATGTAGAGCTAGTTCAACATCTGCAAGACCATAGACATAATTAAATACATCAACAGATGTAAAAACAAGAATCACATAATTGTATCACTAGATGCAGAAAAAGCTTTTTCATAAAATTCAACATCCCTTCTTGATAAAAACCCTTGAACACCTGCGCACGGATGGAACATACCTCAAAATAGTAAGAACCATCTATGATGAACCCACAGTCAACATATTGCTAAGTGGACAGAAATTGGAAGCATATCCCCTGAAAACCAGAACAAGACAAAGCTGCCCACTCTCACCCCTCCCTTTCAACGTAGTTTGGAAGTCCTAGCTAGAGCAATCACACAAGGCAAGGGTATTCAAATAGGAAAAGAGGAAGTTAAAGCTATCCCTCTTTGCTGATGACATGATCCTACACCTTGAAAAGCCATGGTAGTCTGTTAAAAACCTCCTTGCAATAATAAATGACTTTGGCAAAGTTTCAGGGTACAAAATAAATGTGCAAAAGACAGTCACATTCTTATACACCAACAACAAGAAGGCAGAGGGCCAATAAAAAAAAAAACAATCCCATTCACAATAGCCACACAGACACACACACAAAGAAATATCTTGATATCTCCCTAACCAGAGAAGTGAAAGACCTCTACAATGAAAACTACAAGACATAGCTCAAAGAAATTAAAGAAGACACAAACAAATGGAAAAAAATTTCATGCTCATGGGTTGGAAGAATTAACATTGTTAAGATAGATGTCCATTCTACCCAAGGTGATGTACAGATTCAACACAGTACCCATTAAATTACCAATATCATTCTTCTGAGACCTGGAAACAACAATACAGAAATTCATGTGGAAACATAAAATAACACAAATGCCAAAACAATCCTTAGCAAAAGAAACAAAGTGGGAGGTATCACACTTAACAGAGTTTAAACTTTACTATAAGGCTATAATAATCAAAACAGCCTGGTACAGGTATAAGAAGAGGCACACAGACCAATGGAACAGGATAGAGATTCCAGAAGCAAAACCTCAATTTTTTAAGCAACTCCTCTTCAACAAAGCCTCTACTAACAACCACTGGGAAGAAGAGAACTTACTCAGGAAATGGTGCTGGGAAAACTGGCTGACTACATGCAGAAAATTGAAACATGACCCCTACCTATCACAGTACACAAAAATCAACGCGAGATGGATCAAAGACCTAAACATAAAACCTCAAACTATAAGAATCCTAGAAGAAAATGCAGGAAACACTTATGCACATTGGAGTAGGCAACCAATTCCTGATCAAAACCCCAAAAACCCATGTCATAAGAGGTAAGATAGACAAGTGTGATCTCATCAAACTGAAAAGCTTCTGCAAAGTAAATAAATCATCAAGAGAGCAGGCAGACAGTCCATAGAATGGGAAAAAATATTTGTCAACTGTATATTTGACAAAGGCCTAATATCCAGGTTCTACAAGGAACTCAAATTTGCTGAAAAGAAAAAAACAAACACCTTTCTATTAAAAAGTGGGCAAAGGATATGAATAGACATTTCTCAAAAGAAGACACACAAGCAGCCAGCCAACAGATACATGAAAAAATGTTCAGCCTCAGTAATCATCAAAGAAATGCAAATTAAAACCACACTGAGATACCACCTAACTCCAGCCAAGATAGCCATCATCAATAACTCAAAAAAACAACAGGTGCTGGAGAGGATGCAGGGAAAAAGGAACGCTTCTACAATGTTGGTGGGAATGTAAACTAATACAACCTCTGTGGAAAACAGTGTGACAATTCCTAAAAGATCTAAAAATCGACCTTCCATAAGACCCAGCAATCTCCTTTCTCTGGGAATATAACCAGAAGAACTCAAATCATTCTATAAAAAAGATAAAAACCTGCACATGCATATTTATTGCAGCACTAATCACAGTAACAAAACCATGGAACTAACCATGCTGCGCATCAAAAGTGGGTTGGATAAAAAAAAAAAAATAGTACAAATACATGATGGAATATTATGCAGCCATATAGGACAAAATTCTGGACTTTGAAGTTACTTGGATGGATTTAGTGCATAATACTCTGATCTATCACAGAAACAAAAAACTGAATACCACATGTTCTCACCTATAAGCGGACACTGAACATTTATCATAACACTCTAAGAAAGGGTTTGGCAGTAGTGGGACACTGCCAGGGGAGGGCAGTGGGGGCCACATAACAACAATGTTATCTGATCTCAAAACAGACAAAGCGGGGACCAAGGGGAGGCCCAAACTTCTACCCAATCCTGAATTGTACCCCACATCTTTAAAATTAAATAGTAATAAAAAAGAATTTTTAACATTACCTATTTAGAAGACTATGGCTTGGGTTCTTTCGTAAGAGCCACCAGTGAGCTTACTATTCCTATAACCTTAGCAAGGGACCATTTGTGTTGTAGGGGAATGGGCAGACTGTGGCACTAGCCCCAACGCCGGTCCCTGAACCAGAGGGTCACTAACCACTCAGGGCCTAATTTTTGATCTGCTGGAAATAAATTTTCTCTCTCTGCCATTTAAACCTGGTTATAGTTTTCTTACTTTACTGAAACAAAATAGAAACGAGTACAACTTGATATTTTAAGCTTTTAAAAATGAAGGAAAAAAACTTTTTCCAAAATGAAGGAGAAACACTGCCTAATTAGGGAAACCATCCCATAATACTCTCCAACTCACTTTAAGAAAAATGCACCAGGCACAGTGATTCACTCTATAATCCCAGCACTCTGTGAGGCCAAGGTGCAAGGACTGCCTGAGCCCACAGGTTTGAGACCAGCCTGGGCAACTTGGCAAGACCTCATCTCTACAATAAATCTAAACAATTAGTTGGGCAGGTAGCGCGTGTCTGTAGTTCCAGCTACTTGGAAGGCTGAGGAGGATCACCTGTGCCCAGTAGGTTGAGGATGCAGTGGCTGTGAGTGTGCCACCACACTCTAGCCTGGGTGAGAGTGAAACTCCAACTCAAAAAAAAAAAGTCCAGGCGCAGTGATTCAAGCCTGTAGTCCCAACACTTTGGGAGGCCAAGACGAGAGGATTGCCTAAGCCCAGGGGTTCAAGACCAGCCTGGGCAACTTGGAGAGACCTAGTGTCTACAACATATCAAAAAATTAGCTGGGCATGGTAGCACATGCCTATAGATCCGGTTACTTGGAAGGCTGAGGTGGAAGGATTGCCTAAGTCCAGCAAGTCGACGCTGGGGTGGCTATGAGCATGCCACTGCAATTCAGCCTCGGTGACAGAGTGAGATTCTGACTCAAAAAAAAAAAAAAAAGAAAGAAAAAGAAAAAAAGAAAAAAGTTTTCATTTTTCTTTCCTCTCAAATACAAACGTACCTGACTATACACTAGATGGAGAGGGCCTGCTCTATCACACATAGTGATTTCCAAGCACCAAGGACGCGCTCTCCACAGAAGGCCCACAACCAAACCCATGTGAGAAACTGGGATTACGTGCTACCCCCCCTTGTTCCGCAGCATCTGCCTGGCAAATCTGGATCCACAGCAGAGTGTGTGTGATCGTGCTGTGTGCACTATAGCACATCAGTGCTCCAAGGCACAGGTGGACACAACTCACGGTGTGCCTGCCTCTGACACCTGATCATGTGGACGTGGCAGCTCACGGTGTGCCTGCCTCTGACACCTGATCATGTGGACGTGGCAGAAGGCCAAGGATGAGGCCTCCTGGCTCTCTAAGTCCAGTGTCAGCATACAGTTGGCCTCAAAACCAATTCAGAGAAAGAAGTCGCAGATAAACTGCTGAGAGAAAGAGGCAGGCATGAGTGGTGGTCTTGTGGATGCCTGTTTAAACGTAGAATAAGAGTTTGAAAGGACCTCTCCACCCTGCCCTGCCACGTGGGGCATCTTCCAGGCTTGTCTGTTGGTAGCTCCAGTCCACCATCCTCAGCTTTCCATCACAGAACATGAGATCAGAGGGCAGAATTGAGCTCCCCACACAGCACTGGGTGCCTGATGCCACCAGATCAGGCCCACGCAATGAGGCTCTCATGGCAAGCAGAGCTGGTGAAGCCCCTGCCTTGTGAAGCTCCCTTCCCAGGGAGCAAGATATAAACATGCACTAAGGAGACAATGTGTGTGAGACAGTGGAAATGCTACAAAAAAGACAGGTGCACAGAGGCCATCCTGTTGCTCTGGAAGGTCCCCAAGAGTCACTTCTGCACTAAGCCCCAAGGGACGTGAGGCCATGGGAAAAATGGTTGTTGGAGACTCCAGACTGGCTGGAGAGAGTGGGCTGACGTGGCAGGGCAGCCTAGCACGGGGGCCGATGCAGCCTGCCGCGTCTCTCAATGACAGGGATGGCACTTGTATGTTCCTGAACTTCCCTATGCACTACCCTCTTATCGCCAATTCAATTTGGCAGCCTCCACGTGGATGGGACATGTCCCCCAGGTGCTCATGGATGGCAAAAAATGAGTAGACCCCAGTCAGAAGCCCTCTGAGAGTCCTCCACTCTCCAGCAGTACTTCTGGGGGTCGAGAGCAGCATCTTGTCTTCATGTCCCGAAAGGGGAAGAACCCCTCCCACCCCACCCAACCTGGCCACCGTAAGCAGAAAAACCCAGGGTGCTGGGAGAAGGAACTCCTTCCTTCCTGTGCCTCCAAAATCCATGTGCTGGGTAGACTGGGGAGAGCAGTGAGGCCCCACATTGAACTTGAACCTGGTCCCACATAGAAACCTCAGATATGCTATGCCTTGGGCCTTTGAGCTGTGGAGTATTCTTTCTATTTCAGGAAAAGAAAATTGATGAAAAAAATTGCAGGATCCACTGGAGCTCAAGTACCCGTATCTGGAATGAGGTACTACCCTTAAAATCAGGTGACCTGCCACCAGATCTGTGCTGATAGACAGAGAGGTGCTTCACCTGCTTGTTTCAGAGCTCAGGAAGTGCACTAAGTGGCTGGCCCACAGCACAGGCCCTGCATACGTCCCAAACGCGGTCAGGAACATGGCTGGGATCTCCATGTAGGTGTCTAAGCCCACAAAGCCTGCAGAGATGTCCACGGTGGCGATATTGTTGGAGTTGCCCTAGAACACAGAAGAAATGACACAGGTCTCATAACATATAGCACCTAAAGCTGTGACATTAATGTGAAATGTGTACATGGCTAGGATGACACACCAATATGGACACATGTGGTCAGTGCCAGCTGCTCCTCTGGGTCACTGAGCTGGCCCTGCCTGCGTCAACCCTGCAGCTGCCTGCATCAGCCCAGACCAGAAAGGAGAATGCCAGACACCTGTGCAGAAGCGCATAGTCCCTCCAGAGGAATGATGTGCATGTAAACCTGCTGACTGCAGGAATTTCACACTGTCATCTAGATCCACTGACTTTGCTTAAGACAGGCATGTGGACCACCCTTCAAGAACCCCTGTCTGAAGGTGGCGCATGTGGCCCTGGGAGGCACAGCTACCTGGAAGAGTGGGTATGCTGGGCTGAAGACTAAAGGGTGGCGACATAGATGAGTCCCATCTGACAGTGAGGTGCTGTAGATGTGAGTTATGTGGCAGAGGGCCGGCCAGCTGCTGGGGGAGTACAGTCCCAGGTACAGATTAGTAACTTGCATTTGACTTAGATATCAGAACTGTGAGGCCAGCCTTCCTCTGACTGTTGTCAAGATTCTGGCCCATCTGGCCCAGTCCGGGTGGTAACTCCCTGTGGTATGCAAGGATTGATGTCACCCAGTTCATCCTGCAAGTGAGTGGCAGGATTTGGGATCCAAGAAAAGGATCGCCTAGGATTCTGCCTCTCCACTCAATCTCTATCAAATCTGATGATCTATCATCTATCTATTACATCGACCCTTCCTCAGATACTCATGCCATTTGTAACCTGATGGCACATGTCTCTATCAAGTTCAGCTGAAGCCCCTCTTTGGAACTGTTTATCCCAAGGCCCACAAGACAACTGGGTTGAGTATTCACCAGCTCCACAAACTGCACGGTCAAATCCACTCTCTCCTCCTTGGTTAGATGTCATTCCAGACAGACACCCGTGGGTCTGGGTAGTCATGCTGCCACATTTATGCCACCTCCCAAACATCTCAGAACAAGTGTTCCTCCTCACCCCCCATTCTCACTGTCTTAACTTAGGCCCCATTCCTTTGATTTGACCTATTATACGGCTTCCCTTAAATCCACTTGACTCACGGCCACCTGCCCTTCTGAGAAGGTCCTACTCTGACCACCTAATTCCTCTTCCTAGAAGCCCCTCCCTAGGAAGCCTAAGGAAAGGGCAAAGAGGCAGAAGCAGCAGGAGACCCAGAGCTGCTATGGAGGGAGAAGGTAAGACTGAGGGCACACAGCGAGGATGACATCTGGGAGGCTGCTGGTGAGCCCGAGCAGGTTCGGTCAGGCCTGGAGATGCTGTCCATGCTGTGCTGTCCTGTATGTGCTGCACACCCCGAGGGTTCACAGGCATGATCGCATTTAATCCTTACCAGTCCTGATGTGCTGTACTATCCTTGCCATGCAGGGAAGAAACCTACCAGAGAGACCCAGGGACTGAGTGAAAGAAGAGAGTCAGTGGACGTGTGTGGGCACCCGCATTCCCAAACCCTGTGCTATTAGGGATCTGCCTGATGGCAGGAAGAAGGAGAGGTGGCTGTAGTCTAGTCACGGTACCTGAGGATTTCTGTAACTTCTTACCATCCTGGGGCTTCAGGGTCAGAAGGACAGAGAAAAGCCTGCAACTGTGGCTGCTTTGTGGAGGGGGCAGATGGGGAAGAGGCTGACCTATTGCAACACAAAGAACTGGATAAGCTTTCTGGGGGCTGGAAGGAGGAGCAGGAAGAAGCTGGTGCTCAGAGAGGAAATGCAGACCCTTACTGTAAAGACAGAAGATATAACTGAGATGTCAGTAGCTGGTACAGTTACTCAGGTGGGAAACTGGAGCTGAAAGGGGAACCACAGTGAGCTGCGCCTGTCCTGGGGATGACAGGAGGTTGGACGGGACTGGACTCCTCCAAGGACTATCTACCTGTCCAGGTGCCATTTATTTATACCTGTGCATAACTGAGGTGGGCTTGGGTTTTTCTGTGATGGATCTTTAGACTCTGGGAGAAGGCTGGGCTCACTGGCTCAGCCTGTAATCCCAGCACTCTGGGAGGCCAAGGCTAGTGAACTGCCTGAGCCCACGGGCAACTTGGCAAGATCTTATCTCTACAATAAATCAAAAATTGGCTGGGTGTGGTAGCATGCGCCTGTAGTTCTGGCTAATTAGATGACTGAGATGGAAGGATCGTCAGAACCCAGCAGGTTGAAACTGGGCTGGCCGTGAGTGTGCCACTACACTCCAGCCTGGGTGACGGAGTGAGATTCCAACTCAAAAACAAACAAACAACAACAACAACAATAAAAAACCCTGGAGAGAAGACTTGATGATCCACTGGGCCCAGGGGATTAATAACAAATAGGGACACTAGATGGTTCCCAGTGCAAGCAAGGGAAAAGGGCAGAGACAGTACAATTATTATATTAATCACATAGGTAAGTTAAAAAAATGACATTTGTGTTTCCTTAACTGCTGGTAATAAATAACTCCAGGCCTGACCCAGCAGAGCAACAATCTATTGTTGTAAACACCTGTGAGACCAAATGAACTTATCTTACAAAATATACTAGTTTCAGTATAATTCACCATGCCATACTGACAGTTCTTTCACTGAACAAACATAACTTTCCAACTTATGGAAAAATTTTCTCAAAGAGAAACTAAGGGAAAAAAAGACAAATAAAAAAGTTATTAGTCTTCCACTCATGATAATAATGAAAACCTACCTGAAAATAGAAGAATGCTTGACCGAACCAATAATGCATGATAGTGATCTCAGCAGCATCATGTCTCAAGGGCTTCCAGATGAATTTAGTCATTACCGTCTGAATCAAGAGACTAAATGCTAACACCGGAAGATTATGTGGTCTAAAGAGCAAAGCTGCCAGGAGAACTAATCCACTATATATCTCCCATAAACCTACAGTCTTGATTTTGAAGTCTGCAGCAATGACTTGGGATTTAAGTAAGTCTTTGGTGCCCGTGAACAGAATGCCAAGGACAAAGACATAAACAAAACGAGCTTCTATAATACCCCTAAAAAAAAAAAAGCAAAACAGATTCATTAGCAACAGCCAGAAAATTTAAAGGTATCTTTCCCCAAGAAAACCATACACATCTACTTAAGGAACATGCAAGTGTTCCAGTATAACGGCTAAGCGAGCTGTGGCCCCCTCACTTCCCTCTAGGTAACACCACGAAAGTGGGCATTTCCTCTGCATAGTGGCCCTGAAGTGCACCCTGCCACAAAGGTCAACAGGTGTGTCCTACTATGCACTCCTCTGATGGGGCCAGTTTCCGGGAAATCTTGCTCATTTTTTGTTCAAGGATCACCTAATGGCAAGACCCAAGTCCTGCTCCTGTAGCACGCCAGAAAAATTCACCTGCTTTGTATCATTAACTTGAAAAATCCTTGCACTCCTGTAAGATCCAGTCCTGTCAGAAATTGCTGTAGACTCATGATTGCTACAACTGAGCATGTTCAAAATCGAGCAGACTTAAACAAGCACTTGCACACTTATATACACACACAATGGTGCAGTGGTCAAACTGTGGGCTCTGGAGAGAAGACAGCTTTGCTCAGCCTGGGCTCTGCTGCTTGCAAGTTCTCATATGGGGCAAGTAAATAAAGTTTTCTGACACTTGGCTTTGTTATTTGTTGAAATGAAGAGAAAATGGTTCTACACCTCACAAGGTCATACTGAGAATTAAACACCAGAATGCACATAGAGTTTGGCACACAGTAAATGCTCAGTAAATATTAAGTACTCTTCGAATTAAGTATTTTAGCATTTCATTTGGTTTTCTGCAAAAGATACAATTTATGATATACCAAATAATTTCACCTTATAAAACTCATATATTCCTAAAAATGATATTTTAGGTAGATTTTAGAAAATATTTTATAGATACTAGAAAACCTATTTAAAATAATCATAACTAAATTTTAAAATATCACCATAATGTTTTGAAAACTGAATTTTCTTATATCAGATTGCCTTAGAAAGGTTTATGCATTTAAAAAAATTAAACTTTGATCAGTTTAATTCAAGCAGTCTGAGCACGGCGTACCACACTATTGACAATGTGGCTTGCCATGTGGAGCCCATGTCCTGGGAGCTGGGGCCAGGTGCCTTGTAACCCTCATTGGCCAAGGGGTATGTATGCTAAGCTGAAAGTGGATTACAGGTCCACCTGCAATCCACAGAAGTGAGAAATCAGCAGAAGTCAGAACCACTGGAGAAATTTCAAAGAAGAAAAGGGGCTAGTTTCTGTGTCAAAAGAGGATGTCCAGGTAGGCTGGAGGGTGAACAGGAGGGAAGACATCATCAGATGCCTTGGATGGATCCTCCTCCTCACCTTACCCAGTTAGTACCTGTTCCTGCACATCCAGGCCCACTCCAACTGACCTTCCACTCCAGCCAAGGCTGTGCTTATGAGTGGAGAAGAAGGTCAGGAGTTGAATGCAAAGGATTTTAGAATATCAATGGATGGCAGCACTAGGGAGACTGAAAAGAGAGAAGCAGCTGTTACAGTAAGTCAAAAACAGGATCTATTTAGAATTAGAACAAATTAAGGTAAGGATTGGAAGCATTTTACAGGAAGAACGTGAACCAAGCACAGCATACGGAAGGAAAAGGCACACCGGCAATTATTTTATTTTTTATTTTAGAGTTGTGGGGTGCATGTGAGGATTTCCTACATAAGTGAACTGCCTGTCTGTGAGGCTTTGAGCGAGCCTTCTCTCCCCCTGGTTGTGGACCTAGCACCTAGTGTGTGGTTGTGTGCCCCTTATCCCTCCTCCCTCCTTCCCTCCTTTAGCAGTGTTTAGTGTCTGTTGCTCCCACCTTTGTGCTCATGTGTCCATGATCAGGGCCCACTTATAGGTGAGAGCATGTGGTATTCAGTTATTTCTGTGATAGTTCACTTAGTATGGTGATCTTCAGCTTATTATATCTATGTTGCTGCAAAGGATGTGATTTTGTTCTTCTTTATTCCATTGTATATATATACCATATTTTCATTATCCAGTCCACTTTCAATGGGTATGGGTTGTTCTTTGTTTTTGCTCTTGTGAGTAGTGCAGCAATGAACACGTGTGTGGGTGTCTTTTTGGTAGAGTGATTTATGTTCCTCTAGGTATATTCCCAGAAGTAGAGTTGCTAGATCATCCAGTAGTTCAATGTTTCGTTCTCTGAGAAAACACCACACTGTTTGCCACAAAGGTTGAACTAGCTTACATTGCTACCAACAGTGCAGAAGCATTCCCTTTTCTCTGCAACCTCACCAACACCTGTTGCTTTTTGACCTTTTAATGAAAACCATACTGATGGGTGAGGTAGTACTTTACTGTAGTTTTGATTTACATTTCTCTGATGATTATTGAGGCTAAGCATTTTTCATATCTTTGTTGGCTGCTTGCATGTCTTCCTATGAGAAGTATCTGTTCATGTCCTTTGCCCACTTTTTAATGGGGTTATTTGCTTTTTCTTGTCAATTCATTTGAGTTCCTTGTAGATCCTGGATGTTAAGCCTTTGACAGATGCATAGCTTGCAAATATTTTTTCCCATTCTGTGGGTTGTCTTTATACTCTTTTGATGGTTTATTTTGCTGTGCAAAACCTTTTTAGTTTGATAAGGTTTTACCTGTCAAATTTTGATTTTGCTGCATGTATTTTTGAGGCTGTGACTAAATCTTTTTCTAAGATTCATTGTTTGAAGTTTTACATTTAAGTACTCAATCCATTTTGAGTTAATTTTTATATATGGTGATAGGAAGGGGTCCTGTTTCATTCATCTGCATGTGGTTAGCCAGTTTTCCCAAGCACCATTTGCTAAATATAGTTTCTTTTCCCCAATTTTGTTTTTTTCAGCTTTGATAAAGATGAGTTGGTTGAAGGTTCATGGTTTTATTTCTGAATTCTCTGTCCTGTTCCATTGGTTCCATGTTTATTTCTGTGCCGGTACCATGCTGTCTTGGTTACTGCAGTCTTATAATAAAGTCTAAAGTCTGGAAGTGTGATGCCTCCAGCTTTGTTCTTTTTGCTGAGGATTAATTTAGCTATTCGGGCTCTTTTTTGCTTCCATATGAATTTCTGTATTATCTTTTCTAGGTATGTGAAAAACGATGCTAGCAATTTGATAGGAATTGTGTTGAATCTGTAGATTGTCTTGGATAGGCTTAACATCTTGGTGATACTGATTCTTACAATCCATGAGCATGGGATGTTTTTTCCATTTGTTTATGTTGTATTCTCATTATAAAGGTCTTTCACCTCTTTGGTTAGGTGGATGCTGAGGTATTTTACTTTTTGTGTGTGTGGCTATTGTGAATGAGATTGTGTTTTTTATTTGGTTCTCTGCTTGCTTGTTGTTGGTGTATATAAATGTAATTGTCTTTTTGCACATTGATTTTTGTATCCGGAGACTTTACCAAAGTCATTTATCACTGTGAGGAGGTTTTTGATAGATACTCTAGGGTTTTCTAGGTATAGAATCATATCTTCTGCAAAGATGAACAACTTAACTTCCTCTTTTTCTATTTGGATACCCCTAATTTCTTTCTCCTACCTGACTGCTCTGGCTAGGACTTCCATTACTGTGTTGAATAGGAGGGGTGAGAGTGAGCATCCTTGTCTTGTTCTAGTTCTTAGGGGAAATGCTCCCAGTTTCTGACAGTGGCTATTTTTTGGACATTAACAAAGTGTATGCTACAGTAAGCAGGTAAAGTAAGGTAAGATGATCAAAGTCTTGAAAAGAGTGATGCTGAAATTAAGTGCATAGATATGAGAGGAAATGAGAAATTTATTCATATACTACACTTTGAGATTTAAACAAACATTCCCAAATGTAACATACATTCTTCATTATCTTCCCAGTCTCAGACTCAGAAGGCAACAGCCTTTGAGACACTTTCACAGGATGCTCCCAGTACTTGCAACTCACCATCTTTTCCCCACATGGTCTTAGCCTCAGGTGACCATGTGAAGGCTTGGTGAAGGCTTGCCATGCTGCCACCGTTACTTTAGCCAGGCCCTGCTAGGGGTGGGGGGTACACCTCATCGACAAGGGTACCTGCATAATGAACATTTGTATATCTAGCCCTGAATTGTACCCACATATTTAAAATTAAAAATTAAAAACAATACAGAAAAGCAGCTGCTTTGACATGCAAAAAAAATGGCATTCCTGGTTGGGCACTTCTAGTCAGCAATCGTCCATCCATCAGTGAGCTTCTGGCCCCTTATAGGAGCTTGGTGTAAATATGGGGACAGTTTAATGTTCTAGCCTGCTTCACTTCCCAGTCGCTAGAAGCATCCACTGTGATCACCCTCATCACTACAGCTATATCCTGACTGAACAAAACCATATCCTGGCAACTACAGGTTACTGTTGACTCAGACACCAATCTGTACTCATCTGTCTGACTTATCATATACCATGGAGGTTTTATTTTTTAATTAAAAAAACAAAACAAACAAATAAAAAAACCTCAATGATCTTACTTTACTTGCAAGTTATTTATCCCTCTCCTAAAAAAATTTTAAAAGTTCCCTAATAAAGCAGTGAGTTGAGGTTTTATTAGGCTGTAGTAGCTGTTGATGAAACCACAACTCACAAACAGCAAACTCCAGTGTTCTTGAGATTCACATGGCATTTTTTAATATACAAAACTAAAATGGATCTACAAGCACACACTCATTTCTTCCCATACACTTACTTTGAAATGTCCTTGTTGTCCTGTTGCCATGGGAACAGCACACTCCCAATGGCTGCCCTGAAGCAGTAGACACCCAGCAGCCCCAGTGCCAGGGCTGCCTTGGACATGGGGGAGCACCCCCTCTGTACCAACATGAAAATCACAAGGAGGGAGAGGGCAGCCAGGGCAGAAAGCTCAGCTTTGTGATCAGAGCTGAAATGAGATGGAAAATGCCAACATTACTACCAAATTGGGATGCTATGACTCTACACCAAGTGGCTTTCAAAGAACTGCATTTTAAAAATAGTTGATTTTCCTGAAAAACAAAACCAAAATAATTTGTTCATTATTTAAATTCAAACAAAATTTCTTAAAATGCAACAAATAAAAGACAGTCAACCTGAACTTTCTTTCCACATTCACAAATGGGCCCTCACCATCAGCTCTGGACACTCAGAGGCTGGGTATGACAAACAAAACAGTCCTCTTGTCATCTGTCCCCTCCACCCCACAACCGGGACAGACCCGTATCTACCAGTGTACATGCCAGTCACGTCCTCCCTCCAGACTTCTTCTATCACTCAGTAACACATATTAACTCTAGACTCAGGCTGGGTGTAGTGGCTCAAGCCTATAATCCCAGTACTTTGGGAGGCCGAGGCAAGAGGATTGCCTAAGCTCAGGGATTTGAGACCAACCTGGGCAATTTGGCGAGACCTCGTTTCCTCAATATAATAAAAAAATTAGCCAGGTGTGGTAGAACTCATCTATAGTTCCAGCTACTTGGAAGGCTGAGGTGGAAGTATAGCCCGAGCTCAGCAGGTTAAGGTTGCAGTGGCCGTGAGCATGCCACTGCACTTCATCCTGGATGACAGAGTGAGACTCCAACTCAAAAAAAACCAACAAAATTAACAGCCAGGCGCGGTGGCTCATGCCTATAATCCCAGCACTTTGGGAGCTGAGGTGAGAGGACTGCCTGAGCCCAGGGATTAGAGAATAGCCTAGGCAACTTGCCGAGATCTCATCTCTACAATAAATCAAAAAATCAGCCGGGCATGGTGGCATGCGCCTGTAGTTCTAGCTACTTGGAAAGCTGAGGTGGAAGGATTGCCTGAGCCCAGAAGGTCGAGGCTGTAGTGACTGTGAGTGTGCCACTGCACTCCAGCCTGGGGGACAGAGGGAGACACCAACTCAAAAAGACCAAACATCAAAACAAAACAAAACCCTCTAGATTTGCTTAGCCTCTCAATGTCTGCTGTCGCCCCATTCTTGGGTGAGGAGATGGTATAGAAGTTGACAGCTCACTCAAGGGCAGAGCCTGAAGCCCTGATCCCACTCTAGCAGTACAGCCCCAGTGTGGTCCTGCTATCAGTCTGCTACTTTGGCCAGAGCGGGAGTGCTGGGAAGGCCTGGAAAACCTGTGTTCCCTTTTGTTTTATTCACTGCCGCTCCCACTTTAAAGCCTCAACAGTCAATAGCTAATAAAAGGATGAGTAAACATTCTGCCAAGTGGAACACAAATGGAAACACTACTTCAGAAAACACAAAAGAAAGATGTTGCCAGTGTCAGGACAGGGCTCCTAGGATAGAGAAGGCGATCAAGGCCACACTGGGGCGTGGACCCCACCCTGTGCAGGGTAGCTGGGTGTTCATTTATAATTGCTCTTTAAACTGTACATAGTTTCATACTCTTCTGGATTGTTATACAGTAGTCCTCTCTTATTTGCAGGGAACATGTTCCACGGCCCCAGCAGATACCTGAAACCGCAGAGAGTACTAAACCCTCTATGTACTGTTTTTTCCTATATACCTATGATAAAGTTTAATTTGTAAATTAGGTACAGTAAAAGATTAATAATAACTAACAATAAAATAGAACAATTATAATAACATACTATAATAAAAATGATATAAATGTGGTTCCTTTCTTTCTCCCTCAAAGAAAACCATGATCTTCCAATCATGGTGGATCTCAGGGAAGCAAAACTGTGGATACAGGGCAGACTATTGCATCCGGAGAAGTCAGCTGATTCTCTCCTAATGTATCAGTTTTCCGGAAAAATAAGAAGTTTGGTGTCACTGTGCTATTCCAGGACCCGAAGTTCCATAATACGTCCGAGTGCTCCACATGCCTTATGCCCCATGCCTGGCATACCTCCTGCCACCATTCCCTTTACTGCTTCCTTATCTCTAAAGTGGAGACTGACCCATGTCCTCTCTCCAGGGTTGCTGTGGAAATGGAATGTTTGGGTACCTAGCAGGCAGGCATCTGAAAGATGCTCCTGTGATGACTGGGGTTGCCAAGGTTTTGCTAATTTAGTTAATACTTGGGAGAAATTTCCCATAAGAATCACTTGGTCAGAGGAATCCACAATTTCACAGTTTTTGGTATAAACGTCCAAGTATCATAAAAAATAACTGTGCCAGTAATGTGGCTCTAGGTACCCTCACATACTCAAGGCTGTGTTTTATTTGCTTTTGTTACTCTACCTGAATAGGTATAAAATCCCATCTTGTCATTTGAGGTATCCTAATTACTATGAGGAATAAGCATTTCCCTTTTCTCTCTGCAGGCAGTTTTTATAGAAGTCCTTCACAGTGATCAGACAGTGACCCTCGTTTGTTACTCTCACATTTTGCTGTTCTTCTTTCAGTTTCCTAAGTCTTCACTGCCAGACTACTAAAATTTAAAATGTAGCCAAATCTCCATTTTTTTTGGTTCTAGTTTCTTCTATTTATCGCAATTCTTACCTCAAATCCTCTGCTTGCTATACTTTCTACTAGGTTTTCCAGCCACTGGTGAAAGGTTCAGGAGGTGGCTGAAGATACACCCACAGGGCTCTGGCTATTTCAGGGATGGGAGAGAGAAAAGGGAGGCTGGAGAGGAGGGAAGGGAAGCAAAGGGCAAAGCTACTCCTTAGAGGCCTGCACCCACCTCAATGGACTGACCTTGTCCTCTTGCTCCACAGCTGCCCAGGAGAGCATGGGCCATGGGTACGGCAGCACGGGGGAGGTACTGAGCCGTGAGTGAGGAGAGCACAGTACACTGGGGGCCACACAGCCCAGAGCACAGGCAGCAGGGGTCCAGAACAAGCCACCAGGGAGCTTGATTCCAAAACTACAACTTTACTACAACAATCATTTTAAAATTGGTAAGTTTTCAATCATGAACAATTATACTGATTCAGCACTAATGAATCAAACCTATTAGGCTAGTCTCAAATAAATTTACCTTTCAACATTGATTCTTGGGTTTTGGTATGTCTTCCCATTTCTTCAGACCTCAAACACTATTCCATTCTTAATATGAAAAATGAGCTACATTTAGAAAAAGAAGAGCCTGGCATGTGACCAAACAGCCATGGCTTGTGCTCTCACCTGGTGAGCCAGTGGCCCAGGTCAGGCCGGTGGGCCCACTGCACACCTGTCTGGTTTAGGGAGCGCAGCAGCCGGCAGCAGGCTAGTATCAGCCATGGGCTTGCCAGCACCATCCATTTCTCATGGCCCTCGAGTACTTCAGAGAGAAAGGGGCTCCCATGCCCATTGTCCCGCTCTGTCCCATCACCGCCAGTCCTGGTCTTCAATGCTGAGGCAGCACCATCCAACCCTTGCTCCATAGGGAAGTGATGCTGAGGCTCACTGTTGTCTCCCAGAAAGTAGTTTCTATAGGTTTCTTGACTCAGAGCTAGACACAGGGTGTTAACAAGGAAGTACCAGGTCTGATGCTCCTCCTCCACAAAGCTGCTGGCACCCAGACTCAAAACGTGGCCCACCGTCCCTAACAAGATAAGATGATCTAACTCTGACCACTTTGAGTTGGGATGAGATGGAGTCTGTAAAAAGGAAAAAGTATTTTGTAAGGGATAATCTAAAAGTTACATACATCTTGCTACATGCACTTAAAGTCTTTGCTCACAGGGCAGAATCCCCTGGACAAACACCTGCTGTTCCTCATGGTCAGCACTTTACTCTCCAACTCTGGAACACCCCCTTCTGCTTCAGTGGATGGCCCCTCCTCCCAGGACACAGCCTGGGGAACATGGATATAGCATGGTCAATCAGCTGTCCCTCTACTGGACTGCAGGTCTCAAGCTGAGTGACAAAGAGACTGAAAATGCTCTCTGCAGTCTTGAAGCCCAAAGAGCTTGCCTGCTGGCTCCTGACCCTGGCCCTCCATACTCCCTCTTCCATACTCATGTGAAGCCTGGGTCTTCAATCGGTCACAGTCAGTTTTTGCTGCTAGAAGACAAAGAATCCCAACAACACATTCCACTAAACTAGACATCTCATTTCTTCATGAATTTTCCAGAAATCCAGACTGATTCCACTAAAACAGTTAATTCTGTTGAAATGACAAAGTTGTATCATAGTAACTCTTAAATATACTAACTTAAAACATTTAAAATTAAAGATGAGAATGCCATTATTGTCATTTATTCTTTTGATAACTATTTATTGTATGTGGCTAGGTACAAGAGAGGTAGAGATACCATGAACCTACTAGGTCCTAGAAAAGCAAACACGGACAAAGACAATCTCAGCTCTAGGGAAACTTATGGCCTAAAACAATATAGTGAGTGCCTCAGTCAGACACACAGCAAAGGGCCTCTGATGGTCTGTGGCAAAGGGGGATGGAGGCTACATGGGGTGGGGGTGAGGGGCCCAGTTTGACCTGTAGTCACTGAACTAAGAGTCCCATGATCCTGGGCTCTGAGCACTGTGAACGTGAGTGTGACTGTCCACCTCTTTCTTATTGCCCCGCCACCATAACCCAGATAACAAATGAAGATGTCAGAGGCCAAAGACTAAGAATTCCCGAGGAAAATGTCAGTTTTAAAAAGAAATCTGGACTTTATGAGGTCCCAATGCCCCAAGATGACAGGATGAGGGGGGCAACCGAGTTTCCTTTTCACCCTGAGTGTCCAACGGCTGTTTCTTCTTCCCTTGGCTGCAGTCCAAATTCCTCCGCTGTGGTCTGATTCACACATCCGCAGTCAGTGGGTACTCATTCCTCTGTGACTGCCAGTTCTTTGGCATCACCTCTGTGGCAGTCTCAAGAACCCTATCTTTCTAACCAAGAATGAAGGCCTGTGACCTAACAGCACAAATCCAAACACCGGTGTCAGGACACCCAGAGGCCTGGGATAAGGCTGCCATTGGTACTTCCCTGCTATCCCTTGAGCAGTGGGTACCCCTTTCCATTGGTATACAACCAATGCCTGATAAATAAAAGATAAGCTGAAATAACAACAACAACAAAAGCCTGTACAGAGAGACAATGTAACATTCCCAAGAACCAGCTGTACCTTATTTGAGAGATTTCCACTGAAGAACATCTTGGTCAGAACAGACACAATCGCACAAAGTAGTGCAGAAATCAACACCATCACTCCACCTGCTGCCAGCCATGAGAGGCCACAGAAGTAGCATGAGCTCTCAGCTGAGGTGCATACAATGACATGAAGGGCTGAAAGAACCAGGAACATCAAATAGAAAAGCAGAGAAAACACAGGAGATGACAGTGGAACTTCCAGCTCAGCCTTTCTGTGCAGCGCCTGTGGGATGCTGAGTAGGAGCAGAGCAAGAACCTGGAACACAGAAGTAACAGCAGTGTTACAGACTGCTAAGGTCAGAGAACCCTACCTAAAAATAAGCCCATTCTTATCTTGGGTCAGCTGTCCAAATAATGAAAGCAGAACAGAAAACCTAATAAAAGATTATTTCTAAATAACTACCAAAAATGCATAGCCTAATTTTTTCAATCACCTGCTGCAATGTTGAGTGAAGCCACTTGACACTTGACAATACTTTGTGTATTGTCACAAATGAGGACACACAAAGAGCTAAACAAAAAATTAGTGTTTTTCCATTTTTATTAACATCTCTATCTATATTTTTTAAGCTATAATATTTTGGCTGAATTATCAAACCAACATAACACCCAAGTCATGTCTCTAAATGAGCATCTGTACCTCCAAAACCACGACAGTCCCCACCATCATTGAGTAGATGTCATACTGGGCCATTTGCGTGCTCAGGGACAGACTCAGCATCTTCAGAGCATCGAGGTACTGCCTGAGAACCTTGGTCCCCAGGTTGAAAAGGACTTCTGAATTATTTTCCTCCAAGTATAGTTTAATCCAGTTCCCATGCAACCTTTCCGACATTTTAAATTGCTCAAATCCAGGATCTGTCAAGAAGACAGAAAGATTACACACGCACATCATGGACATATACACCATACATGTAATTTCAAAGTATTCAATTACTCATGGCATAAGGTAAAGCCTTCATTTTTTAGAACTGATGCCTAATGAAGACGAGCTACTCCTTGTGGGGGGAGAGAGGGACAGCAACACCCTCAGCAAAGCTATAACAAAAGCCAATGATGCTCACCCATCTGCCTCCAGTACTGCCAGAACCCTTGTCCTTAGCACATACAACACGTCTGCCCACTGCTCTGCCTGGTCTCTTCTCTACCTCCCTCATCTGGTCTTACCTCCTTCTCCCCCTTTTCTCTTTGTCCCTTTCCATTCTTTTCTTCTCTTTAACGTGTAATATAAAAACAATCCTGGGGCAACCCCTTTGGGTTCCCTCCCACTGTGGGAGCTCTTCTGTCCTCTTAATAAATCCTGCTTTCTCAAAAAAAAAAAAATCCTGAAATGCATTATGCTAACAAACCACAGCTTTAGAGACTCTTTCTAATGTTCACAGCACTATGTGGCGACTGGGCAGGCAGTGGCCTGACCCTTCCCCACCACACCACTCCCCAGTCCAGATTGGCTCTTCTTCCCTGACAGTAACATCTTTAGCCTAGGTTCCTCTCTTCACACATCTCCTTTGGAAAGTTAGGGCAGTTTCCTAGCCCTGCCCTGCTTACCAGGGCAAGCTATGCAGCTAGAGTGGATGCCCTGCTTCTAGATGAAGTCCAGCCCTCACTGCTGTTGGCTCTCTTTTAGAGCATCATGGCATGCTGCTCAAGGGCAGGGCGGATGTCCCTCCTTTCCAGAGCTGGCTGGTCTGTGAGTCTTTGTCTGGACTACATTCACTTGTGACTAGACTGGTCTGCAAAGTAAGAACTGCCTTTCCAAGACTCCCTGGTACTTAATATGTGCTTCCTACTCGAGGTTCTGCACCAAGGATGCTATGAGCATGCCCTAGGCCTTCCCTCACACTGCAGTGACAGAACCGTGGCAGGCATTCTAGCTGCTGAGATCCAGAGCCCTGTGGCACAAGTCCCTGAGTATGAACTAAAATACTTGCAGGCCCTCCCTACTGTTGGCACTAAGAGACCTGTACTAAGTGCCAATGGCTGGTAATACTGTAAGCAGTTCATTCATTTCACCTCCCTAATAAGGCCATGAGGCCAGGATGAGCTTCATACCTGTTCTCCAGAGGAGAGAACTAAGACACAGAAGGTGAACCACCTGCCCAGTCACAGAGCCAGTGGGCAAAACCTAAGTCTAAACTTAGGCAGTCTAGCTCCAGGGCTGGCACCCTTAACTACTGTGCCCACCAGCCTGGAATGGGAGAACCTGGGGACACACTCTTCCACCCTAGAGTTAGACATATGGGGATAACTGTGCCTATATCCCCTGCCTCTCTAATCAAGGAGTCACACAGACATGGGGTAGGGGTTACTCTAAGCACTGACTACATGCCAGGTGCTTTACAGGGGTAAGAAATACAGTAGTGAGCAAACAAGCACAATTCCTGCCTGTTGGGTTGGATACCAGAGAGTTCATGCGTGTGTATGTGTACATACACTCAAGGAAGGGTATAAATTGTGATTGCATTATATTTGTAATTACAAATTCCCTTTGATAGAAAAGGAGAGGGTATGATGAGAGATTTTTGGTAATGCAGAGGAACTGATTTTAGATTGTGAATGGGGTAGGGGACAAGGAAGGTCAGATTTTTTTTTTTTGAGTTGAGTCTCACTCCATTGCCTAGGTCAGAGTGCAGTGGCACGCTCATGGCCACCCCAGTGTCGAGCTGCTGGGCTCCGGCGATCCTTCTGCCTCACCCTGCCAAGTAGCTGGAATGACAGGCTCGTGTTACCATGCCCGGCAAATTTTTTAAGATGAGGTCTCACCAAGTTGCCCAGGATAATCTCAAACCTGTGGGCTTAGGCAATCCACTTGCCTTGGCCTCCCAAAGTACTGGCTATACAGGTTGAGCCACCACGCCTGGCCGGAAGGTCTGATATTTAAGAAACATAAAAGATATAAAACTAAGGCAAGAGTATCAGTCAATGGGAACAGCATGTGCAAACATTCTGAGGCATGAAAAAGCCAGTTTCAGTAGAACTGAAAGAAAGCCAGATGGGCAAGCTATATCAGAATTGCTGGATATCACTGAAGGGCTCCATAGGCCTTGTTGTGGATTCTATTATGTTTTTCAGTGTCAGAACACATACTCAATTTTGTCTTAGGACACATGATCACTGACAGTATAAGTAATAGGTCTCCTAGGGGTGGAAGACCTGTGATTGTTTTCCCAGTCAAGGGACTGTCCTACGTCCATTTCACAGGCTCATTTCCTCCCACTTCCATCACAGTTCTCAATTTCTCCTTAACCTGCTATATCTGAAATAGGCAAATAACCTCTCCATGGTTTTGCTTGCTTTTGTTGGTGTTTTCACTGCTTGTTATTATAGAAGAAAGGATACATTTAACAAAACAATAAATATACAAAAGCTACTAAGCTAATATTTAAAAAAAAGTAACAATTTTCTCTGGTCTTGACTAAAAGGTGTACTGTAGTCAGACCTCACCAAAGAGTCCCTCACCTGGGTCATCTCATGGACCACAAGCTGGTGCTCATTAATCCTCCTGCCACTGATTACATCTGGGTCCCAGCCATTCCTCAGGTGGCAGAGTTTGTCTTCCACTAGCCATTCAAGGAGATCAGTTTACATCTTACTGCAAACTCACAGGTATTCACTTGATTAGGTAGTATCTCACTACCTCAAGTAGGAGAAGCTGCCAACGTCACGTTAAATGCTGCCTCAAACTAGGAGTTGACCTCGAGACTTGCAAAGGCATTCCAGTGTCAAATATTATTCTTTGACAAACTTGAATGTGTCAGAGTAAATCATCTGAAAATGGCCCAGGGAGATACATTCTCCTCTCCTGGGTCATTCCTACCAGCACATAAACACCCCCTAATATCTCCCAGCTTAAAATTAAAAACAAATACACTCTCTTGGCCTCATGTCTACCTCAGTCAACAACCCAGCTCCTACTTCCTTTAGAGTTGCTTTATCTGTTGTCTACAGCTCTCATCCATACCAGCAACAGCCAGGCCCTTCCCCAATACGCCACACGTCCTGTTCCTGACAAAGCCACTCATCACATTGCCAGAGCCAATGTTCAACTCAATTCCTCATTTGATTTTAACAGCATTCAGTACAGTTTCTCATTCTCTCCTTCCTGAAATTCTTCCTTTACTTGGCTTCAATTCCCCAACCTCATGAGCACCCTGTCTTGCACACTTGCTCCTCATACAGCTTGCCTACCTCCGGAAACGGTCGCTGTTCTTTCACCTTCAGCTGAAAACACTGGAGTCATTCCTTATGCCTCTGGTCTGCTCGTACCTTATATCCCAGCCTACCATCAGATTCTGTCTGTGACCTTCAAAATATATCCAGAATGCAACTTCTTCTGGTTCCACAGCTATCACCTGGGCCCTTACCACCCTCACCTCTCACCCAAGTATGGCAGCTGCCTCCCAACTGGTCTGCTCCTATAGCACAAGGCAGAACCTTCCACCAGGTACCCGAGAGAGCCTTTAAAAAGCACATCCAAGAGTTTAGACTCTGCACAAAACCCTGCAGCAGCTCCCCATTTAACACAGATACAAGCGAAAGCTCCTCCAATGTCTGAAAGGCCCTTACATCTCTGATGTCATCTCCTGCCTTCCCCTGGCCACTGTGGACCCTGGTGTGGTCATTCTTTGTGCAGCTGTGTCCCCACAGCAGGACCCTGTCTGCTGCTCGACAGCCTGCAATGCTCCTTCTCAGACAGCTACGCACTCCCCACCCCATCCCTGTTATTCTTTCCCTAAGGTACTCAGCGCCACCTGGCATCTATCACACTGTGCTTTTTCTCTTCTCCCTCTGGAAGGTTCCATGAGGGCAGAGTCCTTGTACAGCTCAATGCTTTATCTCAAGTGTTTTTAATAGTCCCTTGTTCAAAACAAGAACTTGGTAATTATTTTTTGAAGGAGTAAATTTCTGAAAAAACTTCACTAAGATAACTGCATCTGAAGGTGTTGCTAATGGTGACAGGTAAAGTTCTAAGAAAACAGGAACACAATCTGCATAATCAAAGAGTGATGACTGCAAAATATTACTGTGACAGACTGCACACCACAGAAACACATCAGAAAAACATTAGCTCAAGGGACACGTACAGTTCTAATAGAAGTTAGAAACTATTCGTTGACTTACCTTTTTCATACAATGGTACATTCTCTTTCAACAATTTGCTAAGCTGTACTGTGTTTAAATGTAAAAATCTCAGTTGTTCTCTCATTGGCTTTCTTTCTACAATTGGGAATATAAGACTCCCTACACTGTCTCTTGGAATTGGCAACCCAAGTCCTATTGCTAATGTTGCAGCCACATCAATCTGCTGGACGTGCTTTGGATGTCGGATATCACCTAGAAATAAGAAAATGTGTTAAGTAACAAGCCTCTAGAAAGAGTAAGGTGGCAGTCATTCTTGAAATTGACCTTCTACAACTAACATAAGTCAAATGATCCATCTTTTCAATGTAGATTCATACAGAAATCATCTCATTGCTTTTTGTGTCAAATTTCCTGAATGCCCATTCTATGCTGAGTACACTGTCTTTTCTATGGTAGCCTGCAATACACTGGGAAAGACTAATGCAGGAAATGCAACACAGCGGTGCCACAGAGCATGCATTAAGCACAAATGGAGGAGGAGTCCAGCAGATGCCAAGGGGTGGTCACTTTGACAAGTCAATGATCAACCATGTGAACAAAAGTGAGGGTGGGATGGTTGATGGCTCTGCCCCTCTGGATTCAGGATGTTCCATGCTCTGCACACACACACAACTCTCATGCAGAAACATGAACCTCTCATTGGTTCCTGAGCAGTGGCAGGCACATCTACTGAGGAAAACAGTATGAAGCTGGGTTCAGCTGGGCCAGGTACTCTAATCAACTTGGACAAGCAAGACATCTGCCTATCAGCAAAAGCCCTTTAAGCCCTAACAGTGAGTGACTATCCTACTAACTCCTTGCAAGAAAAATGGCTGTGATGTCAGTACGATGGGCTTAGGTCACTGCTCTGCCACTATCCAGTAGCATAAGAAACCTATCCATGAACAGGAAACTCAACTCAGTCAGAATTTTCTCATCTGTAAAATGAGAAGCCCCCACACACCAGAAACTACAATGCAGATCTGCAGGGGTACCAAGGGGCCACCAGAAAAGTCTACCCAGGACAGGTAGTGCTTGATGTGAGTCTCTTAGATAATCAAGTGTGAGCCTGTGGAGGTTTTACTTTGATTATGGTAATTTTTCGTTATATGGAATTTTTCCTTTTAATTTGGTCAAATTTATAACTCATTTCCTGACCAACCCACTAATGATGGCTTTTAGGTTATATTTAGAAAGAAAATAATTTTAGAGGGGGTGGGATTGGCAGTTGAGGGAAACTGCCAGGGGAAGGAGAGGCACACCTCATCAACAAGGGTATCTGCATAATGAACATTTGTATACCTAACCCTGAATTGTACCCCACATCTTTAAAATAAAATTTAAAAAAGAAAATAATTTTGCATGCCAATATTATGATGTTTTCTTATAGTACTTCGTTCTTCCTGTATTTTCTTACACTAAGTGCTTTGAGCTAAAACAAAACAAAGCAAAACAAAAGAATAAAAGCAAACCCACCATAAATAGCATTTGACACTCATACTGGCAGTAGTAGTGCTGGCATTGTTATTCTGAGATTGTTGCATGTCTACTGTGAGATAAAGCAAATGAGTCATTATGTGATATTCTAATTCTATCATCCCTGGGGTTGTTGACAACCAAGATTTTAAGCTTAGGAAGAAGAAAGTAAGATGTAAGATCTTAGATGTAAGATCTAAGAAGGTAATTTTACAGTTTAGAACACGAATTGGAAGTATCAATACAAACTCAAGATGACTGTATCTTTAAAAATGTTCTTAGTACTGTCCAGAAACAATGACTAATCCAGGATCAGCGAGTACCTCTTACTCTGAGACAGTGGTATTCAAAGTATCACTTTCTACCAAAAAGATCCAGGGCACCTTGGAGAAGTAGCTGATTGCAGGTCATGGGAATGAAATGTGCATGATAACCTAGCACACCTTAAAGACCAGACAGCAGTAAAGCCTAAAAGGCCAATAAGGTCTTATCAAAAGAACTCAGGAGCTAATCTGCAGGTGTTCCCACTAGCCAAAGATGGACCAATACGAATACTAAAAAGAATAGTATCTACAGTGAACGGAAGCAAATCAAATATGCTTAAGTCCGTGAGTTTGTAATGTTACTAAAAAAAGAACCAACTTAATTGGTCATTGTTGAAGGATGCTGGTAAACTCATTTATTGATTTCAATCTGGTAATTAAGTGGGAAGAATAACCTACCATTGATCCTGTCTCTCTTATGTAGTGGTACAAGTGGGTAACCAAAAAGTAGGTGGAAGAAGACATTCTTTATAGAATTATTCTGGCTGTTATAGTCTGAAGGTATCCCCAAAATTTATCTGTTAGAAACTTATTCACCAATGTATAAGTGTTAGGTGGGATCTTTTGGAAGGTGATTAAATCACACAGCAGAGCCCCTGAGAATCAGTTAATCCATTATAAAAGGGCTTGATGAAGGGAGTTTGGTCCCGTTTGTCCTGCTACTTTCTGCCTTGCAAGGATACATGATCCTCCCTTCCATAGGTCACAGTGTTCAAGATACCATCTTGGAAGCAGGAAGCAGCCTTCATCAGAGGCTGGCACTTTGATCTTGGACTTCCAGTCTCCATAACCTTGCTGCTTTTTATAAACTACCCAGTCTGTGGTATTCCATTATAGCAGCACACATGGACTAAGACACTGGCTAATAAATAAGAGGAATTATGTATGTGAAAATAACTATTTACAACCTCTACTGAATTAGAGTACCTAGGTATTCATCAAGAGCTACTAACATCACGATAAAGCAGACAGCCAGACATTTCATCCTTCCTGCTAGAAGTAGCCTTGCCCAGAGCAGACCCAACCCAACCAATGAAACATAAGTCTGTTTAAGCATCTGGGTCGGAGATTTACCAGATGGGCAGAGGACATCTTAGCAGACAGTGCAGAGAGCAACTGGCAAAATCCAGATTGTGGGAGACTTCAAAGAACAAATAGCAAGGTTTCTTCAACAAGTAAACTGTGGTAAAGTAAGAGGCTGGGGTTGTGGTTAGGAATCCACAGATTAAGAAAGACTTAAAAGACACATAAACCACAGTGTATGGATCTTATTTGCACTCTAATTCAAACAAAATAAAACAATTAAAGAGAGAGAGACAAATGGACATTGGAAATGTGAACAATGACTATGTGACGTTATTAAGGAATTAACGCTGTTTTTAAAATGTGATAATGGCAACAAGATTCGGGGGGCAAAAGGGCACATATCTTTTAGAGGTCTGCTTCTAAACAATAAAGAAGAAGGGAAATGAGTGTGGACATAGATGTAATAAGATAGGCCATGACTGGCCAATAATTTCTGAAGCTGAATTTGGGGTTTACTATACTCTTTTGACTACGTTTCCATGTCTGAAGTTTTCCATAATAAAGAGTATTTTAAAGAGGTTTAAATGTTTTGACCTGGATTTGTATTGGTTTAAAGAACGAAGCAGAGATTCAGCCTTGCTTTTTTTCCAGAAGGTCAGCTAGGTGTACATCTCAGACAAGCACTAATCTGAGATGCCACTTTTATCACCAAATCCCCATATACACTGGGGTCTATTTTTGGGCTCTTGATTTGCTCTGTTTTGCCAGTTTTTGCCAGTACAAACTATTTTAATAGCTGTAATTTTGTAATACAAACACAGCATGGGCCACATGATCTCATTATAATGGCAATGAGAAGCCATTAAAGTAGTTCCAGTATTTCAGAAAACTATTCACACAGCTCAGCAGCAGTCCTTTTACCATGTCTCTACTTCCGCTGGCCCAATTAAGCATCTTTTAAACATTCAATCAGCAAATATTGATGCAACAACAAATACTGATGAAACACCTATAGGTGCCAGACACTATTCTATTCCCCACTATTCTAGGGACAGAACAACAAGTATGATAAAACATTCTAGTAGCAAGAGACAATAAAATATACCTGTTCTACCCTTTGCAGAAGTCCAGGAACAGGTATGCTCTCCTTCCCAGACCCCTTGACCCCGGAGTGACCCAGACCTGTGCTTCTCACACTGGGAGGTGAGGACTCTGGGAGTGGGCATTAGCAGGCTGAGAGTCTATGAAATCACATAGTACATAATTCAAAACTGTTTATTTTTCAGAATAGTAAACACCTTAACATTTATTTTTCATTAAAATAAGCAACAAAAATTTGCATGCATTTTTAAGATAAAAATAATCCTTCAGAACTATTGGAAATGGTAGTGAGATTAGTTCTACGGACTTGCTCACCAATAAAACAAGCATAACTGGTAAATATTATAAAAACCAACACCACTATTTACAGTCTCTGGGAATTGTTCAGGGGCATACAGCAAACGAAGAAGCCTTTAATCAAGAAAATCTACTAAACCTCAGTAAGAAGTGTTAATTAATAAAACACTGTGGCACTTGAGCCATGGTCTGCTCCCTACCTCCCGCTCCCAGTTCAGTGGGATAGAAACTCCCTTCTGGGTGAGTACAGCCAAGAACCCAGAGCTCCCTTTCCCTCAAGCTCCAAGTGGAGGGTTATGCTATCTTCTTTTCATCTTCCCTAGCTCTTGTTTTCCTCTAAAAAAAACAAGAAAGCAATCAGCTGGCAATTAGTAGAGCTTACCAGCTGGGTGTGATACAACAGCTTCACAGAGCAATCAGGGAAAGAGACTGTCAAAAGACACCCAGCTAAAACCACTATCATCTCAGGGAGTCTGTACATGCCCTTGGCTGTGACAGCAAAAGCTTCACACTGTGGGGGGAAAAAGAGACCACTAAAATAGTCCATCAAATCACCAAATAGATAAACAAGCAACAATAACAAGCCCTGGAGCAGGAGGAGGAATGTATCCAGAGTTGCTACAAAATATCATTGAAAATGTTCGGTTTTTCACCAAAAAATTACGAGACATTCAAAGAAATGGGAAAGTTACTCAAACACACAGAAAAGAGCAGGCAACAGAACATTCTTGTGAGAGGGCCCAGATGTCAGATTTAATAGACAAAAACTGCAAAGTAGTCATTATAAATATGTTCAAAGAACTATAGGAAACCATGCTTAAGGAAGTAAAGAAAGGTACAATGGCAATTTCTCATCAAACAGAGAATATAATTAAAGAGACAGAAATTATTTTTAAAAAAGAATCCACTGGAAACTCTAGAGTTAAAAAATGTAATACCCAAAATGAAAAATTCACTAAGAGGGGCTTAACAACAGATTTGAACTAGCAGAAGAAAGAATCAGCAAATTTAAAGACAGATCAATGAAGTTTACGCAATCTGAAGAACAGAGAGAAAATTTCCCAAATTTGATGAAAGACATTAATTATATATCCAAGAAGCTCAATGAACTTCAAGTTGGATAAACATAAAATACACAGTAAAAATGCTAAAAGACAAAAAATGGGAAACCTAACTAGATTAACAGTTGACTTTTTCATCAGAAACTATGGAGGCCAGAAGGCAGTGGGATAATGTGTTTAAAGTATAGACAGAAGAAAAAAAAAAGGCAGCCAAGTATCTTATATCCTGCAAAACTATCTTTCAAAAGAGAAGAAAGAATAAAGACATCCCCAGATATTTCTTTTAAAAAAGAGACAATTTGCTGCTAAAAAATTTGCTTTACAAGAAATACTAAAGGAAGTTGTTCAGGCTGAAAGCAAGTGACTCCAGATGTCAATTTGAATCCATAAAAAAGCAGAACGTCAGTAAAGGTAGTTATATAATTATGAAAGACAGTAAAAACCATTTTCTTCCCCTTTCTTCTCTCAACTGATTTAAAAAGCAATTTTGTAAAACCATGTGCAGATAATTATGCCAGCAGTCTATAACATAAAGAAAAACAATACCAGTACAGAAGAGGTGGGTAGGGACACAGCTGTACTGGCATAAGAAAATGACATCATGAAAACATACATCCACACAAAAAGTTGTACACAAATGTTCACAGCAGCATTATTCATAACAGACAAAAAGTGAAAACAACCCAAGTGTTGAGTGATAAATAATTGTGTAAATCCAATGGAATGCTATTTGGCAACAAAAAGAAATGAAGTCTTGATACATGCTACCACTATGAACCTGGGAAAACATTATCCTAAGTGAAAAAAGTCAGATACACAAGTCCCCATGATTACATTTATATGAAACATCCAGAGGAAGCAAATCTACAGACACAAAAAGCAGATTACTGATTGCCTAGGGCTGGGGAATGGGGGCTGTAATGGGTTGGGGGAAGTGGAAGGTGACTGCTAAAGAGTATGGGGTTTCTCTCTGAGGTGATGAATTATTCTAAAATTGTGATGATGGTTGCCCAACTCTGGATATACCAAAGAGTACATCCCTGGGCTCACAAAATGGGCATAATGAGAATAAGGAATATAACTATATTTAAAAAACAAAACAGAACCAACTATCAGGACTGAGGATAGTTGTTTCAGTAGCATTTGTAGGCAGTTTGCACATACACGGCAGCCCTTGTCCCTCCTGGCTCTGATTTTTTAAAAACTTGGTTTTATAGATGAAACGTCAGCACTTCAGCTAAACAACAGCCCTAACATTCCTATATTTAAAAACGCCGGCTTAACTGTCTAGTTCCTCAAGGGCAAAGGCTGTGTATGGCTCATTCATGTATAAATCAGCAACACCCAGCACAGTACCTGACCTATTACAGGAGCTCAATCCACCTCTGCTAAGTGAATGGCTGAACAGATGAAAGAAAGGGTGTTTCTCATTGCAGGGTCCTCACTCAGGTAGGTGAGCATTTGGTCTGGGCACCAAATGTGGTGAAATGCCAGTTGCAGAAATCTGGTTGCTGTGGCTCACAGTGTGTGCACAACCACAGGAGGGCAGGCTTCTAGACCGGTACCCAGGAAAGGCTCAGGTTCCAAGAGCCAATAACAACGTAGGAAGTCACACATCCAAGAGATCTATCTCCATAAAGAAACAGAAGGAAACAGGTGGAGGCGCTTCCCCAGCCAATCCTCACTAAAGTGGAACAGTCATTCATTTGGCAAATATTTGTGGGCACCTTTCATGTGCCAGGAAACTTTCCATGCTCCAGGCATATGGTGGTGAACAAAACAGATGAGGCCCTGCCCTCATCTGGCTTAAGGTGTAAAGAGGAGGCAGATGTTGCATTAATCCCATGCATAAATAAATCTGTAATGACAAACGATGCTAAGAATTAGGACAGAAAGCACAAGGTGCTACAGAACAGACTGATAGAGGTAACATTATTTAGTCTCATGGGTGAGTGAGGAACATTAGCTGAGACTTTTAAGAAGTTACAGGGGTGAGGACGGGGCACTGGGAGGTGAGAAAGAGCTTGCTGCCCAGAGGACCTGCAGGAAGGCAGAGGCCAGGACATGATTCATAACAGGGAATGTGGTTCAAAATGGAGTAATGATTAAGGCAAGAAGACTCATGTAGGATTTTCACTTTATCCCAAGTTCAGCTGCTGAAAGCCTTCAGGTATGGGTAGATTAGTGATGGAAGGAAGCAAGAGAAGCAAGGAAGAAGAAAGATAAGGGAGAAGGAAGATAAGGGAGAAGGAAGATGTGAATGGTTTGCTGGCATGGCAATAAGGGAGAGCTGATTTGGAGGAGAAAAAGAGTTTAGATGTGTAACTGTCACACTTGGTCCACCTGTGAGTGATCCAATGGAGGTGTCAGGTAGGCAGGAATGAAAGGACAGATCTGACAAGGTTGGGAGCCTACCCATGACATTTAAAACCATGATAGTGGACAAGTCCATCTTAGGAGTCAATGTAGCATGAAATACATAGGCAGTCCAGTAAAAAAGACCAGGGAAAGGAAACTAAGCCAGCAAAGAGGAGTAAGATAGCACGGTGAGGAGGTAGGAGCAAAATTAGAAAAAACGTGAATCCCAGGAGCTACAGGGCCAGCACTGCTGAATTGTTCTGAAGGATTAGTGACAGTAGAGCCAGAAAGTATCTGTTGTGCTTAACAGCACTGCAGAAATAACTGCTGAGCCTGTTTTAAGTGTGTCACTAACTGTGGAAGCAGAAGTCAGACTTGAGTGGAAGGCGAGGCAGCCAGTAAGACTGCAGGGCAGGTGGCCACGAGGGAAGGAATGAGTAGATGGCTGCTGAGTCAGGGCATAGGTCAAAGTGGGGGTCATGTGTGCTGTGATATGTCTGAATACTGTGAGATGGGGTCCCCTGTCAATCCTGTTCTGGCTGGCTTCCATGACTCTTGTTGGCACTGGTATTCAATACATGGTTTTAAAAAATGCAAACCTTTTAAAAGCTTAAGTATTTATGTCTCCTTCATTTCATACATGTGGCTAAAATTCTCTAAAACTACTGGCATTTTTAAAAAACAGTTCCAGATATCAAGCAGTAACATCCATATAACAAAACACTACAAAGAATATTTTGTATTTTTAGAGACAAGGACAAGGGATGTAAACTCCAAATCTTGACGGCCCTCTGCCCTATTACTTTTCATTCGCACATCGCTCAGGATATTTCAACCTTATATAGTTTCTAAAAAAAAATGGTTTAAAAAATTAAAATGTAAAAGTTTCAAAATGTTAAAAATTCCTAAATTCTCACCAGGTTTCCTTTCAAATGCAGAACTGATGAAAATCAGAGCTGTATTCAATTCTTCTGTGGAAGAAGCCCCATGACTTCCCATTTCAGACATGCCATGATCACCACAAAGAACCAGCAAACTGGGTAAAACTGTCTCTCTCTCCTATAAGGCAAAGGAAAAATATTTCAATTAGTTTAGATGGAAAAGAACACATAATCTCGTTAAGAACTTTAGATTTTAGCCCTCTTTTATAAACAGTAGCTCTTTCTCAATGAATTAGATTTTTTTTCCTGTGAACTTACAGCCAGATCAAAGGGTCAAAGTCAAATAATGTCATAAATGAAACTCAGAAATGTATGCAGCTTCCAGAGCACAGGGGTTGCAGTTATGGCCTCTGAGTCTGAGCATTTGTATCTGTTTTTTTGTCTTTGCTGCTTCCAAGCTATGAGATCCTGGACACATTACACTCCATGTCTCAGTTTCCTAATCGGTCAAGCTGAGATACTAATAAAATCTATTTCACAAGACAATGGTGAGGATAAAACACACAGAACATGGCAAGAGCTCTGAGCCATGCAGTGTCCATGAGGCTCCTCTGTCCCTGGGGCTCCAGCCACTTGGCCTTTCCTGCTCCTAGATGTAACTGGCAGGCTCAGCCTGACTCTCACTGCTTCCCTATCTGAAACGTACTTGTACAGAGAGCGCATCTGCCCCTCCCTACCATCAGATCTGTGTTCACACTACATGTGTCCTCACGAAGGCTTCTCTGAACATGTTATTTAAAACTACGGCCTCAGGTTGGTCACAGTGGCTGATGCCTGTATTCCTAGTACTTTGGGAGGCTGAGGCCAGGAGTTCAAGACCAGCCTCCACAACACAGCGAGATCCTGTCTCTACCCAGAAAAAAAAAAAAAAGGCAGCCTTGGTTGTGCATGCCCATAGTCCTAACTATTCTGGAGTCTGATGTGGAAGGATCACTTGAGCCTAGGAGGTTGAGACTACAGAAGCATGCACTGCACTCCAGCCTGGGTGACAGAGTAAAACCCTGTCTTTAAAAGTAAAACTAACTAACTAACTAGATAGATAACTACATAGAAACTACATAAATGCATACATACATAAATGAATGAATGAATGTATAAATAAATAAATAAATGGCTTCTCCTCAGAATAGGAATATTGTCCCCTCCTCCTGTCTTGTGGTCCTGTGTGGCACCAATCACTTCCTAGTGTACTTACTTACTTATTATATTTCTTGTTTGTCTCTCCTGGTTAGAATGTAAGCTCCACAAGGGATTGTTGAGTGTTTCACTAACACACCCAAATACCAGGACAGAAACAGTGATACACAGGGGATTCAGTAAATATTAGTTGAATGGATGGATAAATGGGTGGAGATAGCAAGAGCTGCTGCTCTGCAAGGTTGCCGCTCTAGAAAGACTGACAGAGTCATGCATGTAGCACTGCAACAGTGCTACATGTGGCATGGGGTCTCTGGCCAGCAGACCGGTGGTGGACATGATGATAACACAGGTCACTTGAGTTCACCTGGGCACTCCCCTTTCTTCTAGGAAATATACAATGCACTACAGAGGGCCGCACCTTTGCCAGCAGTGAGGTATGAATCTTCATGAGGATGCTATCCATCTCACTGAGCTTGTGCCCAATCAGGGGGCTGTTGGGTCCGGAAATGTGGCCGATGTGGTCCAGTCCCAGGTAGTGGAGGATTAACATGTCCCAATCACTTCTTCTTAATACTTTATCCAAATGCCTTGTGACATTATTATCCACCTTTAAAGAGGGAAAAAGTACACATAAATAGCTCAACTAATTATCCCTTGATTATCCCTCCCCAAGGAAACAGCAAAACAGTCATTTTAAAATCTTGGATTTATTTTAGGTAACAGGACTTGTGGAGTTGAAAGACAAAAAAAGATGTCACTAAAAATAAATACACACTAGCGCTAAACTTTTTCTAATATTGTTTTTATGTTTCTAGGCTGTGGATCAAACATGTTAAACAGATAATTAAAATAAGCAAGAGTTGTTCTGACAAACATTTTTTAGGGGGACCAATGCTGGGCTTAACTAAAGCTGAGCAAATGAGCAAGTTAAATAGATCCCAAGTTGTCAGGAGTTAACTAAGGACAAAGGGCAGTTAACTACAGACAAGAAAGTACCCAGAGTTAGAGTAACCAGCAGGACAGTAAAGCTGAGGGCTTCTACCTGTATCCTGAGAAGGCTGTTCTTGGAAGGAAAGAGACACAGCACTCAATGATATTTACTTCTTAAATAAACACATCATGAAGAGATTAGCAATTGAGCAGCTCCAGAGTCATTAGCCTGGACAGCCCTGATCTGTCAGCTTGCCCACCTCTGTCCCACCAAAAAAATCTACTACAAAGAGAAGTGTTTCTTAGTGATGCCATATATACTATGGGAAAACTCGGTCATTAGTGCAAAATATACACAGAATTTTCTTTTATGTCTGCACAGGTAAGCTGTAGAAAAGGGTGTTACTTCAGGACAGAGTATCAATGTCAGCAAGACTGCCAACATGCCACCAGGCCCAGCAAACTAAGAGGTGAGGCTGCCAATACCAACACCAAGCACAGACATGATGGTGGTCTCCTGCCTCTGCCACAAATTCCTAATGTAGGGGTCTAATTTCTCTCTTTTCCTTGAAGGAAAAACCCTTAAGGACCAGGTTCTGCCCATTTTACCATATTCCCTGGGAGCAGCACAATGCTTTACTTGCAGGAGAACCAAAGAGCTTTGAGGATCCAAGTAGACTGTAGATTCTGACAGTTCTTCTCCATGCAGATGCTGTCGTCCCATTCTGTCCACTTGAGAAGTCTCTGCTCACCCATCAAACTTTGCTCAGATGGTTTCTCAGTTGTTACCCTTCCTAATGCTTTGTAGGCCTCAGTGAGCACTCAGCTATTCCATAAAACTCTGCTCTGTAAAACTCTGTTCACACCTGCATCAGGGTTTATATCTCTGGGTTGTAATGGATTTTGTGAATGAATCATTTTTATAATCTCTCCATACTATTTCCAATAAATTAATAAAAGCCACATACAAAATAGTATTGTCTCTCATTAAGTAATGGTGATGCCAGGCTCTATCTAGTACGATGTATTTCTCTTATTTTAAAAACTGACCTCTGTGTAATCTGAAACAAAAAATGAGGTTGTTCCATCAAATTCCACAAAGTGTTTTGGGAATAATTTAATCCATGTTTCATCTCCATAAAAAATTATTCTTTTCCCAGCTGCTTTTGCCTTTCTTATCACATTGTCTTCCAGCAGCGCAGGAGAATTGAGGTTCCTGATGACATCAACAAAGCCAGGGAGGCTTCCTGTCATCAATGCCTACAGTTAAGAGATAATCAAGAATTAGATCACTGAATCCAAAAGTGTAGCAAAAGCGGGGCACTGAAGGTCATTTCACAGATGGAATAGGTGAGCACAAAACTAGGGCTCCACGACTGGAGGCTGAGTCAATGTTAGGACAGCAATTAGGGTAAAGATGGAAAAGCTACATATAGATTCTCAGCAAGTCAGTAATTAAAAAACATTCAAGGCTCAGAACAATCCTTTCAGCTGAGAAGAGGATAAAGGAGAAGGCTAGGAATAGTGAGACAACAGCACCAGTCAGAGAAGAATCTATGGATTCAACATGGAGTTAAGGTAAATAGTGAAGTGTGGTATACACTGAAAACGTGAGCCTCAATATTCAAATTCTCTATCAGGCTCCCACTCAAGGTTCAAACCAGCTCCGTGGGACAAGCAAAATCTATAACTCTAACAAACTACAAACTCCAACAATGCAGCAATTCCGATTCCACCTCTGAGTGAAAAACCAGGAGGAAAACAGTTCCTAAGCATGAACTATAGAAATTTGTGAAGTAAACTGAGCCAGTGATGTTAGGGGACCACCTCTTCAGCCCCTGCTCCTAATGTTACACCAAAGTTTCATGTCCTCATACCCTTCACTATATAATTGAGAAAACAATCTCCCTGATTTTAGCATAGAACCTAAGAAGCCACAAAACAAACCTCTGTGACTTGCTGTGGGAGATACACCACTGACAGCACTGACATCCAGGGACCTGCACAATGAAAACAAACAGGACTCTGGATACTATCAACAAGTGTAATAATTTTGCCAAGACCTCTTTAACAGAAAAATAAATGCAAATATATATTAACCAGCCTTCTGGAATGCCACCATGAGGAGCCTAGCAAAACCTCTCCCCCAAGAACAATAATAAAACCTGATGAAACTGTTAAAAACAACTATTTCAGAACTTTGGAATTCATAAAATTATACAACAAATTGCGGAAGTGCTTGGGTAAGAAAAACCACTGACTCTCGGTAAGAACAGCAAACACCTGTGGAGTTTTCACAAAGGGCTGTCCATCTCCTCCCCCTGTGAAAATACAACATTACAACTGTATGTAAAGCCAACATTACAGTTATCTGAGGGTTTTTAATGTGAGCCTATCTCTCACCCAAAATTCTATTCCTTAAAGGCATTTCTTAAAGGGAAAGCCAACATTACAGTTGTCTGAGGGTTCAATGCTGGTTGTGACAAGCAAGAGACCAGGTTGAAATTTAAAGGGGGATGTGAGGAACAAGACAGCTAGAGTAGACTTTTGTATGCTCCCACACATTCCTTGGACCCTGGGAGGAATGCTAAGGAAAGACCAGAGAGGGCTCCAGTTATCTACTCCTTCTGTCTAAGTAGGAGGCCTTACTTAAGCAAAAAGTGAGTCAAGGCAAGCTCAAAAGCTGAACAGTAAGCATCCAACCCACATAGATTTCCCAAGAGAGAGTGGATGGCTTACTTCATACTGTGCTTAAGCACAGCCTCTCATCAGTCACTGTCTGACCACTAAGCTATACTGAGCAAAGGCAGCCTCAGGAAGACAGGCTCAAAAATAAAAACGAGAACTAAAAAACAAAAAATGAAATACCTAAGCAGAGACAGTTGCTACACACTCCAGGGGAGAAAGACTACAGAATTAGTTTAAGCAAGTCACTACACAAACAATAAAGTAATCATAGACCACCACCACCGTTCCTAGGGTGAGGGATCAGAATCCAGGGTTGAGGTGGGGTTTACCTGGAAATATGCACGTGTTAAATCTCATCCTACTGCCGGCTGCAGTGGCTCAAGTCTGTAATCCCAGCACTTTGGGAGGTGGAGGCAAGAGGATTGCCTGAGCCTATGGGTTCAAGACCAACCTGGGCAACTTAGTGAGACCCTGTCTCTACAATATATCAAAAAATTAGCTGAGTGTGGTAGTGCGTGTCTGTAGTTCTGCTACTTGGGAGGCCGAGGCAGAAGGATCGCCAGAGCCCAGCAGGTTGACGCTGGGGTGGCAGTGAGCACACCACTGCACTCCAGCCTGGGTGACAGAGTGAGACTCCAACTCAAACAAACAAATAAATAAATCTTATCCTACTGTACACACAAAATGCACTTTATTGTATGAAAATCGGATCTCAACAGTTTTTGTTTGTTTATTTTTTTTAAATGTGAGCCTATCTCTCACCCCAAAATTCTATTCCTTAAAGGCAACCAGTTAGTTTTGGTAAGTATTCTGTTAGACAATTTTCTGCATATAAATATAATCACAAATATATAAAGGTGCACTTTTCTACCAAAATGGTAACAAACTATGTAAGTTATTCTGCAACTTGTTTTTGTTTTTCTTTTCTTTTTTTTTTGAGCTGGAGTTTCACTCTGTCACCCAGACTGGAGTGCAGCAGCATGCTCCTGGCCCCCGCAGCCTTGACCTGTTGGGCTCCAGAGACCCTCCCGCCTCAGCCTTCCAAGTAGCCGGAACTACAGGTGTGTGCTACCACACCTGACTAATATTTGATTTATTGTAGAGAGGAGGTCTTGCCAAGTTGCCTGGGGGGTCTTGTACCCGCAAGCTCTAGCAAACCACTCGCCTCAGCCTCTCAAAGTGCTGGGATTACAGGCTGAGCCACCAAGTCCGGCCTGTTTTTCAATTAATAACATATATGAGACCCGCCTGGGCAGCGAGACCTCATCTCTACAATAAATCAGAAAATCAGCCGGGCGTGGTAGCGTGTGCCTGTAATTCCGGCTACTTGGAAGGCTGAGATGGAAGGATCGCCGGAGCCCAGCAGGCAAGGCTGCGGTGGCCGGGAGCGGCCACTGCACTCCAGTTTGAGTGACAGAGTGAAGACTCCAACTCAAAAAAAAAAAAAAATTATCATGAACTACTTCACCCAGGAAACAGCTACTTCATCTTTTTTTTTTTTTAAAAAAACAACTACAAAGTATTCCAATGTGGATGTACAATATCATATTTAATTCCATTTTAATAAACACTTATTTTAAAAAGTTTCCTATGGAAGTGCCATTAGAGCTGAGACCTGAAGGTTGAAAAGTTATGGAGGTCAGGTATGGCTTTCCAGGGGAAAACACAGAAAACTGCAAAAGCCTTAGGCAGAAAGGAGAGCAGTCAATTTGAGGAACTGAGCTGTGTGTGATCTGTATGGATGAGACCCAGGAAGACAGAAAGCAGCTGAGCGTGAAGAGGTAACCTGGAGCAAGACCCCTCAGGGCCTCAAGGTGTGAGTTAGGGTGTTTAGTGTTCAAACACCTCAGGCAGAGGATAAGCCACTGAAGGGTTTTAAGAAGTAGAGTAGCATGGTCTGATCTGTGTCTGGATAGGATCCAAGAAAGGTGCCAGAGGACTTTCATAGTCCAGGTTAAAGACCATAGCAGACTGAACGACAGTGGTAGCAGTGAGACATTGACTCATTCAATTTACTCTTACATCCACAGTATTTAAGAGTACCTGTTCACCTCATTTCTTGTAAGGAGTAGATATCATCAATCTTTAAATGTTTACAATATGATATTCAAAAAGCTGGCCTTACAAATTGTTTTTAGTTTGTCTTGTTTTGATTACTAGTAAAGTTAAACTCTTTTCAAGTGTTTACTGGTCATTTCACTTTCTTCCTTTGTGGATTTCTGTATATACTTTGCCCTGTTTCCACCATATTGTCCCTCCTTGATCTGAACCTCTATATCATGGACTTAACGTCGTTTGTCATGTCCATTGTGAATGGTTTTTTTCAGTTTATCACTTGCTAGTTGGCTTTGTTTACAGTACCTTAGTCATAGAAGACTTTTCTGTTTCTGGACCAGGTGTTCACGTCTATAATACTAGCACTTTGGGAAGCCAAGGTGAGATCGCTTGAGGTCAGGAGTTTGAGGCCAGCCTGGGCAACATACAGAGACTTTGTCCCTACAAATTTTTTAAAAAATTAGCTGGGCTTGGTGGTGTATACCTGTAGTTCCAGCTACTTGGGAGGCCAAAGCAGTATGATCCTGTGAGTCCAGAAATTCAAGGCTGCAGTAAGCCATGATCATGCCACTGCATTCCAGCCTGGGTGGCAGAGCCAGACCATATCTCAAAAAACAAACAAACAAAAAAAAGCTTTCTGTTTCCATGTAGCAGAATCTATTAACCCACGAGGCACCTCACTCCTCACTCTAGCTTGGGTTCCCACTGATAGTTTTAAAGAGGGCAAAGACTACTTTGTATCCCCTCAACTTAGGAATTAAACAAACAGCAAATGGGTTCCAGTTCACAGCCCTAGGAAATATAAGGGAGAGTTCAAGTTTGTTGATAAATGCCAGTTACTATTATGACTATTAATTCCTTGAAGGATGAGAATGCATTAAAAAATAACATAGTTTTAAAAGAAAGTAGCTGTAGGATCTTAGCAAGTGAAAGCACACTGGGGACATCAGTCTTCAGATGTCAGGACCAGTATTTTTTTTTAAGGACCAGTATTTAGTGATAACTTTATCAACGTTGGGAGATTATCTAAGCCCTTTCTCTGATGGGAGGCAGAGCAGGGGACACTTTCCTCGGACAACACTACCCAGTCCTACCAAATTCCAGAGCTGTGCAACTTAAACTCCAGTTATGGGCTTTCTGCTCTAGCTTCTCCTTGATGGGGAATAAGCAGCAAGAATCTGCAAGAGATTGAAAACAAAACAAACGTTGACTTTGGGGTGAGGCGCCCCAGCAAAGGTGAAATGAAACCAACAGGCTGGAGACAGAAGGCCGTAAGACTGCACCGTCAACATGCTGGTCTGGACAGAACCTGAGCTTGCACACTCACACATTTTCTCAAATCCGCCTAGAGTCCTAATAATATTTTTCTTACCAAAACAAAGGAGAAAAGGGTTCCCTCCACATTTCTGATAGAATAGACAGAGAAATCAGTACTCCTGATCATCAGAAGCCTGGATGCCTTTCTTCTAGCTTTCCTGAGACTGTTTCAGCAGAACAGTAACTCTCAACAAGCCGTCCCTGATCACTGTGACTAAAGGTGCCTCCTCTACTCCCCATCATTCTCCATCACCTTCCTTTCATACTGAAAATATCTTTTTTTTTTTGTGAGTTGGAGTCTCACTCTGTCGCCCAGACTGGAGTGCAGTGGCCGCTCCCAGCCACTGCAGCCTCGACCTGCTGGGCTCCGGCGATCCTTCCGCCTCAGCCTTCCAAATAGCCAGAATTACTGGCATGGCTACCACGCCCGGTTGATTTTTTTGATTTATTGTAGAGATGAGGTCTCGCTGCCCAGGCGGGTCTCGAACCCGCGGGCTCAGGCAATCCACGCACCTCAGCCTCCCAAAGGTGCGGGATTACATGTTGAGCCACCGAGCCCAGCTTTGAAAATATCTTGACTGTTGATTTGTATACTTGTATGTGTCCTGTCTCTCCAGTTAGAAAGTAAGCTCCATGAAGATGTTGCTGTTTCGCTCTGTACTGAATTCCTCTTACCTAGAACACTGTGTGGTACACAATAGATGCTCATTAAATATTGCTGAACAAAGGCCACACGACATCCACATGTGGCAGAGAGTAAAAAACACAAGGAAAAAAGTCAGTGAACAATATGGCACTGACCTTCCTTCAATTCCAGACTGTTTTCTTCAGCCAGTGAACATTTGCTGAACACCTACAAAAGCTGCCCAAAGACTTAAATCAGTAAGTAGCTCTTTCTCACCAAGTAAGAAGGTGTCACATGATCAGCCATAGATGTAAGGCTTGGTCAGAGACTTTTATACTACACTCACATGCAACACACCCACAAACTTTCAAACTCCTCTGCTTTCTGCCCCTACCCCTTTACTCATCCTTCCAGTTTCAGCTGAAAGACAGGCTTTCTGACTCCCTAGTCTAAACTGAACCCCACCAGCCAGCACTGAGCATCATATCCTGTTCTTTTGCATCACATGCTAATCACACTTCAAAACTGCACATTTATTTGCAGGCTCATTTGTTTAATGGCTATGTATCTCATTAAAGACTAGAAGCTCCATGAAAGCAAAGGTACTATTTTTCCTCAAATTGCATACCCATTAAAATATCAGCATATAGTATTTACTCAATAAGCAGTTTTTGAGCCAATCAACAAAGCTTTGACTTTTTTCTTTACCACAGTTCTTAGGTAAAGTACTACGTATGTCAAAGTCACTCTCACTAGGCTGAACACCTGAAGGTTATATGGCAGAAACAGTGATAATTGTTGAGGCCAGGTCATGCTGGTTTGATCACTATGTACTACAGTTTTGGACAAGTCATTTAATTTATCAGAGTATGTTTCCTTATCTATAAAGTAAGAGACTGAACTAGATAACTCTAAAGGCTCCTTCCAGGACTGCAACTAACTCACTGATTAAAGAAGAAAGCAGGCTTGCAAGGAGGACATTATCTCTTGGGTTAGCTGGCTTGGATGATCAGGCTTTAAATCTTTTATACTTCCCAAGAAGCATGAGATTTGGTTACTTGACAAGGGGCACAAATCATAGTCTCTGCTCCATCTTAACTGAGGCTCCTTCAGCATTGTTGCCCAAATTTATAGCACCAAACAAATTTCCACTGTTAAAACTGGACTCCAAATTAAGAGTACAGGGAACCCTTCTGAACCCTCAAAAGAGTCAAATCATGATCATAAAACATCAGACAGACTTACCTTGATTCGAGGCATAGTAACTGTAGGTGGCTTTGCTTCAGCCACAAAGCTGTGAGATGCTCCTTTTTCCACAAGATAAGTTGTGTAGGGCATAAATTTCACACCCTTTGACCCAAACACAAAATCATCTCTCAAGGCATCTATCAGAACAATAACAACTTTACTGAAGAGAGGTGGCGGGAGCTTGGTCCAGTTAGAACTGGCTCCTAAGTTTGAAAGAAAAAAAGGCAACTGAATTTTAAACTTTACTTAGCATTCAAGCACCTTCCTAATCTAGCTTCTGCCTACTTCTCCAGTACATATCCTGCTGTATTTACATTTTCTGACACAAAAAGAGGCCTATTCTTGGTATGCAGTGTTAAGGGTAAGAGGTGTTAATGGAGAGTAATCTTAGGAAGCCCCAATATAAGTAATGAATAGTCCTTAGTATGGTGAGGGAAATCCCTATAAGGATACGGAATGGGACATTTAGGGAGCTTGACCTAAAACAGTGCTGCAGGTAAGGGATGGGTGGGTGTTGCAAACTGTATTTACGTGGTCAGTGGCTGGTATTGTGTGCACCGGTCCAGAACTGGAGCGCCTTAACCTCAAGTGTGTTGGGTAGGTGATGGCTAGGAAGGGGTTCAATGCCTTAGCTACTAGAGGCGAAGGGGGCGAAGGGGGGGGGGGGAAGAGGGGAGGTCTTGGAGGAATGTAATAGAAGAAAACGCGACGGGGTCAGAGGAATCTTATCTGTTGTGTCTTACTGCGCAAAAAGGGTGCACGGTACAGGGAGCGACCAAAAAGACTACTTGGGAAAGGGGGTGGGGGTAGGGTCACTGGAATGAGTAGAGCTGGAGAGAGGCGGGAACCCAGGTATGGACAGTGTACGTTTTTTGGTGATCAGGGAAGACGGTCGAAGTGGGGCCGGTAGCTGTGGCTGCCACAAAGTTGCAGGATACACGAAAACACACACAGACACACACACACACGGCTGCTGGAGCGGTGAAAAGGGGTTTCTAGGAATGGGGGCGACACTGAAAGAGAACACCGGAGAGCGCGGAGAAGCAATCCGAGCAGCAAGGCTCAGAGAAAGGGCCCTCTGGGTGACGTGGGACCTCGGGAGCAGAGACGCGGGGAAGGGCCCGTACCAGCCGAGGGTTCCGGCGCCGGGAGCTCTGCTTGGTGCCGGGTATTGGCAGAGGAACGGACCGGAGCTGGGAAGAATCCCCGAAGGAACACCGCGACCCCGAGCACCTCGATCGCTACGCAACAAGCAGCGAAGGTTCCAGAGCCCAGCCGCATCATGCACGCCGCGGGCAGGATGCGGAGCCCAGATCCCACTCTCAGCAGCGCGCAACAGAAGCCGCTTCCGCCTCCAGGGAGACTCTGGTAAGCTAGAGTGAACCGCCGGAGAGACAGCCGCTGGCTCCAATGTGGCGTCACTTCCGTCGGCGCGCCGGAAATACGTCAGTACAGGGGCTGGGCGCTCTCTGGCCGCCCACTCGGCGAGTCCCCGCTCCTGGCAGCGGCCGCTCAGTTACAGGTTTTTAAAACTTATTTTAAGTTCTTAAATATTTATTTTTAAATCGACATATTGAAATTGTACATGTTTATGGGGCACAATGTGATGCTTCAATACATGTATGTTGTGTAATGATTAACTCAGGGTTGTTAGCGTAACCCTATTTTATATCTTGACGGTAGTCACATTCTGTACGTGAAACACCAGATCTTACTCCGCTTGTCCAGTTTTACTTGTGTGCCTACTGACAGCCTCTCCCCATCATTCTCTTTACCCTTTTCTAGCCTCTCTGAAGACTCTAGTAACCCCTGTTCTACACTCTGCTTCTAAGGTATGAACTATTAAAATGTTTTTCCCTCAGAAACACCAGGCAGATGGTAAATCTCTTAATGATTAGCTTTTTTTTTTCTGTCTTTTTTAAAAATTTGATTTTATTATAGGAATGTGGGGGTACAAGTAAGGTTTAACTATATAAACAGGCTGCCTGCAGGGGAAGTTTGGGCTTTTAACTGGCCCTCAACCCCCTGCTAATGAACCAAGAACCCTTTGTGTTGTCAATGTCCTCCACCCTCTTCCTTGCCTCCTCCCTTTCTCCCTAGCAGTGCCCAACGACTGCCGATCCTTCCCTTGTGCTAATGTGACTGGTGTTCAGGGCCCACTTATGAGTGAAAACATGCGGTGTTCAGTTCGTTGTTTCTGTGGTAGATCACTTTGTATGATGGTCTCCAACTCGATCCAGTTTGCTGCGAAATCCATGATTTTGTTCTTCTTTATGGCTGCATAATATTCCATCATGTATATGTACCACAGTTTCTTTATCCATTCCACTTTCAATGGGCAACAGGGTTGGCTTCATGTTTTTGCTATTGTGAATAGTGTGGCATTAAACGTACATGTGTAGGTGTCTTTGTGGAATGATTTATGTTTCCTCTGGATATATTCCCAGGAGAGGTATTGCTGGATTGTATGGAAAGTCAATTTTTAGTTCTTTTAGAAATCACCAGCTGTGGCGCTGTGGTTCACACCTGTAATCCCAGCACTTTGGGAGGTGGAGGCAAGAGGATTGCCTGAGCCCATAGGTTCGAGACCAGCCTGGGCA